AGTGGTCAAGCTGATATGTGTAGCCCAAGGCCCCCATAATAAATCACATTGTTAGCATAAACTATCTGGCCTAGCTTAAGGGCTCAAGTAAACAAGGACACCCTTATCAGGCAGAATATTCCAAAGACAAGAAACCAGGCTAGGACCAGACCTTTCCTTGGAATGTGTAGTGTATGGACAACCTAGCCCTCATCCTGACTCAGCCCCAGGTCAGCCTGCACACAGGCAGTGAGGGGCACCACCTTGCCCCAGTGTTTTTGTCATGCAACCTAAGACCCAATTTGTGTTTTGGAATCCGCTCCATGCTCTGACTACTGGAGTCAGACAGAGTCCAGGTGTTTGAGCATGCTCTCTGTGTGCTCAGATGTCCCTGCTACTGCTTGTGTGCACACACGTGCACACATTCCCTTAGAAGGAGAGAGATAGAAAGGAGATAAATTTCAACTTTCTAGATTCAGCTCTCTGACTCCAGCTTGGCCTTCCATCTACTTATTAATCAGTACCTGAGTTTAATTACAAACGCAGTGAGAAGTATAGTGCTGATGGCCTCTAGAACTTGGGGAGGACTTGGTAGGGAATGCTGATGCTAGCTACGAATTGTGTTTGGGATCTGCTGGCCACTGCTGCCCTTTGAAGGCCTTAGTGTTGTCCCCTGGGTGTTGCTCACTGAGCCCTACCAGCATCCCTGGCCACTCCCCACACAGTTCTGCTTCCCCTCTCATTTCCTCCAGCTACCCTAGGTCCCTGCACATGCTGCTCCCTCTGCCCATGTTCTTGTTGTTGTTATTGGAGAAAACTAAGTTCAAAGTGGACAGAAGCCCCACCCTTTGACTCCCTGATTTCTCAGCTTTCAGTCACTTGTTTCCCCTCTATTTTCATCAGGGAGCCTCCCTGATCCCCACCTTAAACCAGGCGAGAAGTCTCTGCAGGGTGGGGGTGGTGACCGTGGGGGCGGGGTCTTTATTTTCTGCCATCCCCATGAGACTGTAAGTTTAGTGAAGCAAAGATCCATCTGCCTTCTTTGGATTCCCAGAACGGCAATGCTGTCAACAAATGAAAAAACCAGATTGAGTCTCACTCAGCTTGTTCTCCATTGGACTCTTAAGTGCCATCAGGACAGAGACTTGGGGGTTTTTTAGTTAACCCCTGAATACTTAGCACCTGGAACTGGCAGAGAATGGGTGCTCAATAATGCCTGTGGGTGGAGATCTTGCCCAGTCTGTCATTGTGTGTTTTCAGAGAGCATTCTGCTAGTGAGGAAGCCCTGATCCCTTTAGTCCTCCCTTTGGATGTGATCCATGCAGGCAGGTGTGACTTCATTTCAGGCATAGATGCCCTCACTGGTTCTTTGTCTTTTGCTTCCCCATGCTCTGTCAGGGATCCCTCCACTTAACAAAAAGCCACAAGCCAAAGAAACTGAGAAACTCCTTCTGTGTCATCCCTTGGCATTATACCACCAGCCCAACCAGATCCTTTCTCTAACCATCTTTTTCCAGTTTAACTTTAGGAAACTCCTTTTGGGGCTCAAGGGAGTAGTGAGGGAAGATCACCTATAATGCTTAGTAATCATCTAATTTAGCACTTTGCTGTGCCTTCTTTACTCTGAGTGCACTTCCCAGAGCTTGCTCTCCCCACAGATACCCAGACCTTTCAGGGACCTTGTTCTCCCAGAGAGAGAGAAGATGTACCAGGGCTCTGCCTCTGGGGGATGGGGGCACACCTTGGACCTGGATCATTTGGGGGCCTGTCTTGATGATGGCTGGTTGCAGGTGCTTGCCCAACCTGTCCCTGGAGAGCCTCCGTGTTCTCTTTCTCTTGGTGATTCTGCAGAAAACTTCTTCCTCATTGGTTGGATCTAGGTCACAAGCACACTAAGTCCAGTCATTTCCTCTGCCTTCTGGGGGTGGGTTTTAGCAGAAGAAATTCCTCCTCTACTGGCTTTGTGATCTCCAGTAAACTCTAGCTTCTAGTACATAGAAACTCAGAGACCAGAGCAGCACTTGCTCCCCTGGCCTTCCAGCCTCACACACAGCACAGACCACCTTGTGAATTTCTCTGCACTTCCATTGAAACATCTAAACAGATGTCTGGTTTCCTAAGTCAGCACAGTAACAGACTCTTTGAGAGTTTGAGAGAATGTGTCATTTGTGAATAGAAGAAAATTAGATCTCACTCCAAATTGAGGAAAGTTTTTTCAATAGCTTATTACCCCTACAGCTCGCTAAATTAGGATGGGGAGGCTGAGGTGGGATGGTAAGTTTGTAAGGTCAGCCTTCTGGTGTAACAGCAGAGCCTTGGCTGCCTCCAAACCCCCAAACCCCCAACCCCAACTGCTCTGAGCATATTTCTAACTTGAAATTCTTCTGTTATCTACAGCCTGAGAAATAAACTGGGACTAGTCTGTTAGAAATATGGACTCGGCTGGACTCTGTGGTTTAGCCTGTAATCCCAGCACTTTGGGAGGCTGAGGCCAGTAGATTGCCTGAGCCTGAGGGTCAAGACCAACCTGGGCAACTTAGCAAGACCTCGTCTCTACAATAAATAAAAAATTAGCCAGTCATGGTAGCGTGTGCCTGTAGTTCCAGTTACTTGGAAGGCTGAAGCAGAAGGATCGCTGGAGCCCAGTGGGTTGACACTGGGGTGACTGTGAGTGTGCCACTGCACTACAGGCTAGGTGACAGAGTGACACTCCAACTCAAAAAAAAAAAGCTGGGCTCGGTGGCTCAGCCTGTAATCCCGCGCCTTTGGGAGGCTAAGGTGAGTGGATTGCCTG